TCTGTCGCGTGCGAAGCCGGCGCTGTTGTAAGCATGGGCACGCGCCGAATCGATGCAGACAGCGGGTTTGCAGCGTTGTCCTTGACACGCAATCCCTGAAATGATTCGGCAATGAGATCCGCCAAACTTGTGGCTGTCAGGCGTCGAACAAGAATCTTGCGACCAATGATCTTCAAGTAAGTGTTCTGAGTATATAGTGGTCCCGTTCACCCTGCTAAAACAGACTTTAGCACCACCCTATCACGGATAGATATGTGTTTGGATTCACCCTGCAAATGCATATTCGAGCATATGCGAAATCCTGCCTAAAATTACGTGATACTGTAACGAGCTCGCCGAGCCAACCTTGATGACAGAACAACATTATATATTTTCAAACAAAAGGCGGTCAAGTGGATGACTGAATGGAAGGATCGTGACGTCAATCAGCTCAATCGAAATCGGTGACACTCTCGTTTTGCCTGACGTGTCCTTGCTGGAAATATCCATTGTGAACTCGAGTATGTCGTGTCCTCTCAAGTAGGGTCGTTTCCTGCCCATTTCTGGTCAGGTAGGGTGTATGTCACCCAGTTTGAGCAACTTCGACAAAGAAGCATAAATGCGCAAGCCAGAAAAAGTCACGAAGACGCAAACGCAGAAGCCTGGTGTTGGTTCCCCCTCGCCCACCTTCATGGTCAGAACGTGTATCGCCTCCCGTCCCCCTCAGTCCACTGACACGAAGGGTGCAAAAACACACAAAACCTTGCCGCTGCTCAGTTCGCGACAATATATTTTGCCAAATCAGATGAGAATTTTTAAGTGAAATCTTAGCGTCTTATTTAGTACGCCTCACCGGTCAGCCTGCCGTGGCAGGGTGCACCTGGTTCGCAACTCGGATCTGGCGGGTTTCTCGAAAACACATCGAGCACCCTAGTTTCTACAACTCGTTTCCGGCAAGAAAGGGGTACACAAAAAAACATCGTAAGAGCCCTGCCACCGACCACTCGATGCGAGTACAGTGCTTCGAAATTGAAGGTCTCTTTCTACTCATGATTGGTTGCAATCGAGGCTGGTTTGAGAAGTGCCAGCTCGCTGGGTGCGTGGTGCTGCTGAACCACAAACACACAGTTCTGCCAACCGTGGCAGGTCTTTGCTGTCTTTACGGGCCGTACACAATCACAGACACGCTGACCGTACCAAGCTTCCAACCAGCTGAGCGGTGCATGTTGCCATGCCAACTGCTTGTAGCCTTTTCTGAAACCTCTGCAGAGCAGCTTTTGATAAAAAATGCCACTCTTAATGCTGTATCGTGAGTTAGTTACTGATAACTTATTGAGGGCTGCATTGCTCTCGACAGGCAGTTGCACTCCTGCTACTATATTCCTTCAGCACCTTGGGAAGGACCACGAAGCAGCATACTATTACCTTCTGCAGCTTCCTCACAGACAAACCGGATGGTAACCTCTCACAGCAGCAACTCCACGAGTTTCACTGCTGCCAGCAGCATCGGCACCAACTCCAGCCGAAGCAGCTGCAGCAGCCCCTGCACCAGCCCCAGCACCACCACCACCAGCTGCAGCAGCCCCTGCACCACCACCACCACCAGCAACAGCCCCTCCGCCACAGGCAGAAGCGGTATCCGGATTCCCATCATGGGCATCACCTTTCGGGTCGCCATTATCGCCCTCACCGTGGTTTTGCTGGTTCCCCTCCTGCCTGAGACCCATGCTTCTAAAGTCCAAAGTGCTCAGTGTAAGCTCCGTGATTATTATGTGTCCACCAGGAGCTCCATGATTATTATGTGTCCACCAGGCTGAAATATCACTCCTTGCTGCTGCAAGAAAGTTTCTACGTTGACTATGCTTGTAAGAATCTCCTGCATCATCATGATGCAGGTATGGGTCAGCAACATTTTGGTCATGATGTTTGCCGTCCTCCCTTTTCACCTCGATTGTCTGTTGGAAACGCTCAGAGGGCCCCTAACTTCAACTCACGTGGTACCCGAATCTTCTGCTACAATCTGTGTATTCTCAGCATCTTTGCTTACAACATATAGACGACCATCTCAGTTAGCACGGTAGGTGTGGCTTTAAAGAGGGTGCGCGGCAGCAGCATCACCAGGCTGACACCGCCGCCCGAGCGAAGTCCCACGCTACAAACAGTCGCATTGGACAAGGTCTAAGTATGGACGAGGCGTGTCCCGTCACCCATTTATTAAGTCCTGGCGGCGGCATCTCTCACTTGCAAGGTGCTCTTCTCGTCCGGCTTCCCACGCCAGGGCTGGTCCTTGAGGAGACGAAACGTGAGTGGGTGGTGTGTCACCGGCAGCATCCTCTACTGTGCGACGGTCCAAGCGACGACTATTCCTTATATTCTCCCACGCCGTGCTCGGACGTGCAGGAACCGAAGTGCGAGAAGGGCACCTCTGTGTCGCCCTTTGAAGGAACGGTGTCCCTGTGGGGGACATATCTTTCATGCAAATTGCTGCCTTTCCCTTGTTCCACGCCAGGGTCGGTCCTTCAGGAGTTGAAGCAGGAGTGGGGCGCGTTCACGGGCAGTGCGACGTGGTTTGCTAGCAACGACTGCGGCAACATTGTGGGCGCCGGCTGCTCTGGCGTTGGCGATGTCGTTACCTTGTGAGTCAAGCCAATGACTCATTGAAGAGTTGAGTCGTCTTTCCAACGGTGACATGCTGTCATGCAATCGTAAATAGCTTGGGCATCACCATTTATGAGCTCACCATGAGAATGATATTCCCACAAACACTTATCTCCCATGCTTGCTTCTTTGTTTTTTCCCCTTTAAAAGCTAAGCATGACACCGCGTGTGTTTCTGCATATTCGCGTCAATCCTTGTGAAGTGTAATAATAACAACAACAACAATAACAACAATATTAATATGTATATTATTATAATTATTTATTTTATTGTTCCACTTTGCCTCATGCAGGGGCTTCTATACCAGGGGCCTCATTCGCACTAATGCACTGTGACTTTGTGCACCTCTGAAGCATGTTTGGCTGGTCTCATGTGTCGCGTGCAGGGACCTGTACAACAGGGGTCTCACGGGCAGCATACCGACCAGCATTGGCACCCTCCCAGAACTGGCCTTGCTGTGAGTGCGAGGCAATGGGTGTGTTGTGATGTTGCCATGCGTGCACATGTAGGTGTAGAGCTGGTTGCATCGCTGGGTGCACGCCGACCAACTGACCTACTCCAAACCCCCACCTCGCCCTCACGGCACCCCCCTGGCATCTGTACCCCCCTCCCCCCTCCCCCTCCCCCACCTCTCACCCCTCTCCTCTCCCCCTCACTCCATCTCCCGTTCAGGAACATGGGAAAGAATGATCTCACAGGCCCCCTCCCATCGTCCTTCGTCAACCCTACTGTTCTTAATGAGATGTGAGGAGGGGGGGGATGAGAGGGTGAGGGCTTGGGGTGAGGTTTGGGTTAGGCTGGGGCTAGATTGGGCTTAGATCTGATCTTGGATGGTAATAGGTGGAGGTCTGAAAGGGGGAGTTTGGTTGAAAGAAAAGGGGTGGAGGGAAAAAGAGCTGAGCAGTGCATTGGCAGATCAGTGTGCAAGGAGCATGTGCACCGAGGAACCGCGCGCCAGGTAGTGTATCAAGCAGTGTGTGCCGAGTGGTGTGCACTGAGAAGTGTGCATCAAACACTGTGCACTGAGAAGTGTGCACCAAGACATGTGCATCAAACACAAGATGCAGACTATGGTGGAGCATGTGAACGACACGATCATCTTCTTAGGACAAACCCTACGTGCCACTCCCAAAAGAAACACTACTTCCCACACCTTCTTTCACTTCACATGCCGTCTTTTCTTTTCATCTGCTCCTACCAAAGCAGGCCCTCCCATTTTCTCCAATTGTCTCCCCTGTTGCATCCCCTGTGAATTCCCTGCACATCCCATCTGCGATCAGAAACTTGAGTGACAACCAACTGACAGGGACGCTGCCGAGTGAAATCAGCGAAATGACAGAACTCCAGTATCTGTGAGTTGTGCCTACTGCAGCTACATATTTGACTCAACACAGATTCGGTTCAGCCTTGCAGAGTGGAAGACAGCTCAATCGTGACTTGACGATGGGTACTTGCATCATTGGCATAGCTCGTGCCGGTTGCTGTTCTTTACATAGTGCGCTGATCTCTCAGACACCATACCTGATCTGAGTGCGCTCACCAAACTATACTATCTGTGAGCTCGTCTGCACCCTGTGCTACCTTAATGCTCTCCCATGCCCTCATGCAATGCCATTCTATTCCGTGTCACACCGTGCCATGCCAATCCGCACCATGACATGTTACGCCATGCCATGCAATGCCATGTCATGGCACGCCACACCGCGTCACGCCATGCCATGTCACGCCATGTCCTGACATGCAACGCCTTGCATGCCTGTCATGCCTGCCATGCCTGCCATAGAACGCCATGTCGTGCCATGCTACACCATGCCATGCCATGCCATGCCATGCCATGCCATGCCATGCCATGCAATGCGACACTATGCCATGTCACACCATGCCATGCCATGCCATGCCATGCCATGCCACGCGTAGCCATGCCATGCACTACCATGTCATGACATGCCATACTACGCCACAACACGCCATGCCCCACCATGCCACATCTACAGCACCTTACTACACATTTCTCCTTCTTTGCCATTCCCCTGCCCTTCCCCTTGCCACATCTATCTGCCCCGCCCCCCTCACCCACTCATCCCCTGTTGCTGTCCCCCTTGTCAGCATGAGAAGCCTCTCCAGACTCTAGCAACCAATGCTTTGGTCTTTAGTACACTCAAAGTGCATTTTGAGGCGCCTCAAAATGCACCTCTCCAGACTCTAGCAACCAATGCTTTGGTCTTTAGTACACTCAAAGTTCCACTCCACCCCATCTTTCTCAACATGATATAGACCTCTCTAAGCTCCAGGAACTGTTCTTCTGGCTCCTGAACCGTGGCAACTCTTTCCACTCGAGACCCAAGCAGACCTGTTGCTGTGTTATGACTCAAAGGCGGACTCTTTTCTCTCTCCCTCCCTCCCTCCCTCCCTCCCTCCCTCCCTCCCTCCCTCCCTCCCTCCCTCCCTCTCTCCCTCCCTCCCTCCCTCCCTCCCTCCCTCCCTCCCTCTCTCCCTCCATCCCTCCCTCTCTCCCTCCCTCCCTCCCTCCATCCCTCCCCCATCCCTCCCTCCCTCCCTCCCTCCCTCCCTCCCTCCCTCCCTCCCTCCCTCCCTCCCTCCCTCCCTCCCTCCCTCCCTCCCTCCCTCCATCCCTCCCCCCATCCCTCCCTCTCTCCCTCCCTCCCTCCCTCCCTCCCTCTCTCCCTCCCTCCCTCCCTCCCTCCCTCCCTCCCTCCCTCTCTCCCTCCCTCCCTCCCTCCATCCCTCCCCAACTCCCTCCCTCCCTCCCTCCCTCCCTCCCTCCCTCCCTCCCTCCCTCCCTCCCTCCCTCCCTCCCTCCCTCCCTCCCTCCCTCCCTCCATCCCTCCCTCCATCCCTCCCTCCCTCCCTCCCTCCATCCCTCCCTCCCTCCCTCCCTCCCTCCCTCCCTCCCTCCCTCCCTCCCTCCCTCCCTCCCTTCTTCCTTCCCTCCCTCCCTCCATCCCTCCCTCTCTCCCTCATCCCTCCCCCCTGCTTTCCCTCCCTCCCTCTTTCTCTCTCTCCCTCCCTCCCTCCCTCCCTCCCTCCCTCCCTCCCTCCCTCCCTCCCTCCCTCCCTCCCTCCCTCCCTACCTCCCTTCTTCCTTCCCTCCCTCCCTCCATCCCTCCCTCTCTCCCTCATCCCTCCCCCCTGCTTTCCCTCCCTCCCGCTTTCTCTCTCTCCCTCCCTCCCTCCCTCCCTCCCTCCCTCTCTCCCGTACATCCTTGTGAATATCAGAGACCTCTCCAACAACCAGTTGTCAGGGAATATTCCTTGGGAAATATCAATCATCAAAACGTTGCAGTACATGTAAGCTATCCCCTCTGCACTCCCATCACCCCCACTGCACTCCCATCACCCCCACCGCACTAACATGACCCCCACTGCAACTGCCCAAGTCTCGGACCTTCCCCATCTCTCTCTACACTCCATCCGCCTTTCTTCACATCCCTTCACACCCACGCTTCTGGGTTGCACTCCCACCTACCGAGCCCGTACGTAGCCACATCATTACTTGCCTCTATCCATGCTGCTCTCTCCATGACCTGTCCGTGCGTCAATGCAGGTACCTCAACGGCAATTCCCTCTCTGGGTCCCTTCCCGATGTCCTGTCTGAAATGACAAGCCTCCTGGAAGTGTGAGTTGCTCCTTCCATGTGTGCCGAGACATTGCAGAGCAGAGAGTAAGAGCAGAGAGGTAGAGCAGAGAGGCAGAGCAGAGAGGCAGAGGAGAGAGGCAGAGCATCCCCTGCATTTCCTCGTCTTCACTTTCCCTCCCCCCTCCCACCTGCCTGGCCCCATCCATGGTCTCCCTCCTTTCCTGAGCCCCACACCACAACGCCAAAAGCACATCTGTCATGGGATACTGACATGCTCCCATCCATCCTTGTCCGTCCATCCTGTCTCCCTCTCTTCATTCACATCTAGCTCACTCTACTTCACCTTCCTCCCGCCCCTCCACCTCTCTCCCATAATTTGGTTTGTGTGCGTGCCACAGGTCACTGGCGAACAATCAGCTGTTTGGCGATGTGGACAATGCAACAGTCGTCTTCACCACTCTCACTGCGCTGTGCGTCTTCCCTTCCTCTCACTCCTCTCAAATACCACTCTCACCGCGTGCTCTGATATGCGTCTTCCCTTCCTCTCACTCCTCTCAAATACCACTCTCACCACGTGCTCTGATATGCGTCTTCCCTTCCTCTCACTCCTCTCAAATATCAATCCCACCGCGTGCTCTGATGTGCGTCTGCTCGTCCTTTCACTCCAATCAAATACCACTCCCTCTGCATGCTGTGCTGTGCGTCTGTTATGGCTCACGCTGGGAAGAGGGAAGGAGGGAGGGAGCCGTGGGGTAGCGGGGGGTTTGGTGTGGCTGGTTCCAACTGATGTATGTACCTAGCTAGTGTGTGGGGCGTATCGGTCTCTGCCACACCCCCTCACTGCTGTCCCAGTATGCAGCAGCACTGTTCTGTGCTGTGCTGTGAAGTACTGCAATGAGCTGTGCTGCACTGCGCTCCATTGCTCTATGCACTGTTGCTTACTGTTGAACACATGTATACAAAACCAAGCTTATGTATAATTTCATAGAAAACTTTGTGCATTGTTCTCCCATCCTTCCGTCTCCTCGTCTCTCTCTTCCCACCAGAGACATTTCCAACAACGATTTCTCAGGAACCCTAACAGCAAGAATAAAAGACCTCAACGGATTGCGAGTGCTGTAAGCTAATTAAAACACTCAGTGAAGTATCACTGGCCTTAACGGATTCCCAACACCAGCACCCTTGCACCATAAACCCAGCATGCTTGCCATGCTTGCATGGTCCGTCCTGTTTCCATCTTGCATGTATGAGACACTGAAGTCTTCGCTTCTGGAGAATCAGATCAGGTATCCAAGTCTTATAGTCTTCATAAGCCTCAGTGCCAGAATGCAGTTTCCAGCAGCAATGACCACACTCCTTCCATTATTCCATCCGGCTCAAATCCTGCTCTGCCCCACCAAGCAATGACCCTTGACCAGAATCCCGTCTCTCCTCCCACCCCCTCACACCCTTACACATTCCCCTCATCCCCTTTCTCACGCACTTACCTCTCAGTCCGTCCTCACCTGCCCCTAACGTGCGTCTTTCTTCAGTCGTGCAGCAAGGAGTGGGATCCAAGGCATGCTTCCTGGAGAAATCAGTGCTCTCACTAGCCTTTCGGTGCTGTATGTGCCACACTCGCCTCTCCCATACTGCATCTATCTCCAAAAAGAGTTGTTCCTGCAGGGCATGCAGGCCAAGGCAGAGCATGGTATGGCATGGCAGGGCATTGACATGGCATGTTACGGGAGGGCATGGCATGGCATGGCTTGGCATGGCATGCCATGGCTTGGGCCCTAGGGGTGCTCATGTCTCGAAGAGCCGAAACTTGGATGCATGTTGCCTCTATAATCCCTCTCAAACTGCATCCCTCTCACCATACATCCCGCTCACTATTATCCCTCTCAACCACATTTTTATAGAATAGACTGTACTCCTCATTGTTGGTGCAACCCTACGGTTTGCACTCGGCTTGTTGTCCGTGTGCGTGAATGTGTGTGTGTATGGAATGGTATGAGGGCATGGGATAATATATATTTCATGCTTATAATTGTGTGTGAATGTTGAGTCATGATGTCGAGTGTGTGTGTCGAGTCAATAGCGAGTTATCGCTAGACGCGTGTTACGCGGTCGTTTGTGTCTCGCGCACGGTTTCTATTTTGTCGTGCGCGGTTTCTATTTTGTCCTGTGTCGAACGTTTGGCGTGTCGCAGGTGTGTGCAGCAGACCCATCAAGAACTCAAGGATGAGTTTGTGATGAAGAGCCCGAGCCTTGGTGTCAAGCCTCAAGTGATTTCGAAGCTCGCCAAAAGGGTACACCTCAAGATATTGAAGATAGTTACATTACTTTGTGTAGTGTAACATTTCACTTGGTGTAGGCCCTAGTGAAGGGTAGTTTCGAGACCCTTCGTGGTTGGGGACAGTGTGGCACTGTTCCACATCACTGTACCTCGGCTCTTGGGGTTTGTAGGAGCTGGGAGTCATTCCCAACTCGTAACTCTTCCTATCTTGTGTTCTAATACTATAGTGGCTGCCATAGTACTGTTCGTTCAAACTGACGCTGTGTCGTCAATTCTTTATCAAATCGTGCAATCTAAATTGATAATTGTAGACGACGTGAAGACGCTCTAGATCCAATTTGAATCAAGTCATTTGCAGCTGTGAGCAGAACGCTATCAACGTTTGAAGCCGCTGTGCAGAAATCCGTCTGTGCTCTCTATCTTTCGTTTTAGGCACATTCAACCCTTTTGTGACTATAACAAGTGGTATCAGAGCCCCTTGGAGCAGTTTCGACAATGTTTGGACCTGAGGAAAGGGGTGGCAGAGGTGCTGGTGGCAGTGGAGAAGCTCAAGCTCAAGGCCAACCCCGTGATTCAGCCATGGCGCCCATGCAACCAAGTCTTGGCCCACCTAGGGATGAGCCTAGGGTGTTTGGGCTTGACAAGTTCAACGGTGACAACTTTGCTGAATGGTCCTTCAAGATGGAGAACATCTTTGACCACTATGACCTGCTGGAGGTGATGGAAGGAACGGAGAAGCGCCCCGAGAACGACCCGGAGAAGAGCCCGTGGGTGCGGAAGAGCGCACAAGGCTATCTCTTACTTGGGCAAGCGTTGGGGAGCAGTCAGATCCGTCACATCAAGCCATTCCAGCGTGAACCAGAGAAAGGACCAAAGGCATGGGCTGCTCTCAAGGGTGTACATGCTCCTGCAACAGCGGCGGTAGCGGTGGTGTTGGAACGGCAAATGGCGGCACTACGAATTGAAGAAAACGAAGCGGTTGAAGAAGGGGTGCAGAAATTCTTCGACTTGTTGACGCGGCTTGAGGGAGCTGATTTGAACTACAGTGAGCTCCAAAAGAAGACCAAGTTGCTGGCCTTACTCCCAGAGTCATGGTCCTCGCTCATCATCAACCTTAATCGCGACTTGCCCCGCCTCTCGCTTGAAGACGTGAAGCGAGCTATCCTTCAAGAGGATTTCCGCCGCCGTGAGTTGGCGAGTGCGGATGGCGCTGGGGCAGCGAGCATCGGCCGTGGATATGGTCGAGGAAGAGGCAGAGGACGAGGGGGAGGAAGGTTTGGTGGCAGCAACTTCGGCGGAGGCCGCAGGAGTGGCGGTTACGGCAGCGACGACAAGAGCTACGGACGCGGTCGCGGCCGATTCGACGGCGAGTGTCACTATTGCCACAAGAGCGGACACATGTGGCGCGACTGCTACAAACTCCCTGATGGTTGGACCCCTGCTCAAGGCCAAGAGGGTAGAGGAGCAGGAGGAGGGAGAGGACGAGGCCGTGGAGGCCGTGGCGGTCGCGGTGGCGGAGCTGCAAACATGAAGAGCGGAGATAACGACAAGGACCCGAGCGACGATCGATACCCGGGTCTATTCTACTTCGTGTCGACGCAAGTACCGGCTGGTCCAGAGAAGGATGAAGGCTTTGAGGAGCCAGCAGCTGTGGGGAAGGTGACCCTACACCCCCTGGACTATTGGGTGATTGATAGTGGCGCTACCTATAGCATGACACCTCGCCCGGACTTGCTCACCGAACTCGAGCCGTCACCGGTGAAGCATGTCACATCGGCTTTGGGGCAGCGAGCAGAGGTGAAAGGCATGGGCAAGGCCATGTTCAAGGGTGCTGATGGGAAGATGGTGGGCCTCAAGAACGTGCTTTGGGTGCCCAGCCTTGCTGCAAACCTGATTTCCGTGCGGCGGTTGGCAAAGGCCGGCATGGACACGAACTCGAAGGGAGCCAAGACCTACACCGCAAGGCTTGGCGATCGAATTCTTTGGGACCTTCATGAGGACAGGGATGTCTACAACGAGATGTGGCAGATCCCAGTTGTCCCTATGCCTAAGGAGAGGCAAGTGGCAGCAAGCATCAGCACCAAGGATGGAGCGGTCGGTAGCGACGATGGCGCGAACGGTCGCGCTAAGGAGAATGAGCTCAAGAAGAGCAAACCTGGAGGGACCAGCAAGTTCAGTGAACCTAAGGAGAGTGGTGCAGCAACCAAGGAGCAGCAAAAGGGTGAGGAGAACCCAGAGGCAGCAGCGGAGGAGGACTACGGAGAGAGTATGTGGGGCGCTATTGCGAGCGCGGCATTCTCCAATCCAACTTCGGCTACGGGGGAGTGTGATTGGCTCACCTTGCATCGGCGCATGGGGCATGTGGCCCTGCCCATCTTGCAGCAGCTAGTGAAGAATGAGATGGTTGCTGGCATACGTGTGAAGGGGGAGCCCGATGAGGTGCTTGGCTGCCCGACGTGCATTCAAGCCAAGTTCACCCGGTTTCCGTTCCCTAGTTCGGAGGCAACGGCAAAGGCACCGCTTGATGAGGTGGTGATGGACGTGGTGGGCCCCCTGAAGCTTGGAGCTGCTGGAGCTGAGTATTTTCTCACCATTGTCGACGTCTACACCCGCATGACTTGGGTGTACGTGCTGGCCAAGAAGAGCGACGTGGCTGAAACGTTGAAGACGGATTGGTTCCCGATGGTGGAGCGGCAACAAGACCGTCTAGTCAAGTCAATCCGCACCGATCGAGGGGGAGAGTTCCTGAGCAAGGAGTTTGGGTTGTGGCTGAAGAAGAATGGTATTCGGCACTCCCTCACCATGCCATACTCCCCTGCAATGAACGGCATCGTCGAGCGAGCGAACCGCACAATCACGGAGGCGGCACGCGGGTTGCTCATTGAAGCCGGGCTACCCGACTATTTCTGGCCTGATGCGGTGCGGAGCGCGTGTGTGGCCAAGAACAGAGCCTTGACTCATGTGGGAGCAGACAAATGGGTGCCCTATGTGGAGTGGCTAGGAAGGAAGCCAAAGGTGGATATGCTTCGGGTGTTCGGGTGCATGTGCATGGCGCTCGTGCCTAAGCATCTTCGGCACAACAAGCTTGGTGCCAAGGCGGTGTGGGCCGTGCACTTGGGCATGGCTCAAAACAGCAAGGGATGGCTTCTTTGGGACCCATTCACCAAGAAGTTCTTGGTGAGCAGGGACTGCAAGTTCATGGAGAACTTCATGTACAAGGATTGGAAGGCGGAGAATGAGGCGAAGATAGGCGTGCGGTTTGGGGAGGTGAAGAGTTCCGGTTTGGAGCATGTGGAGCTGCCTTTGGAACTGAGCAGCGGCAGCACAACCACAAGGCAATCCTCCCTTGTGAATGGGGGAGAGGAGGCCAATGATGCAGAGGAAGAAGAGGAGGAGGTGCAGCAAGTGAGCGAGCATGCACCGTCACTTCCTTCCCGTACTACGAGTGCTCCACGGATTCGAGCCACACCGCAGCAAC